AGGGCTTCCATTCTTGCTTCAATCTCTTCCATATCCGCTTCCTGACTGACTATCCTCTCCCTGACGTCAACTAGCCGAATTTGCTGAAGAAAGCTTGGCCATTTGCTGGCTGGAAGCGCTTTGGTGAGTCCGTCTGCAAGCATCTCGCTAGAGGGGACATGGACAACCTTAATCGTTTGTCAAGAGACTTCCTGTCAGAGCCAGTAGTTATGGATGTTGACATGTTAGAGCTTGGTTTAAAGTTAAGATATCTCTTTGTTTACTAGTTAGATTGTCTGCTTGTTGTTGCACTAGATTGTAATAGTTAAATTAGGCAGCTTAACCTGCAGTTTATTAAAGAGCATTCTTATAAACATAGCTTCCTTAGCAACTTAGGACAGTGTAAGTAATTCTGCTTCTGTTGTTAACGTTATAACTATATCTTATTTATTTACTTACTATGCAATCTATCTGCTAAATAGTTAAATAACATAGCCCTAAAAGCTTTTTCTATCTAGTGTATTATCTACAAATAACGCATTGCTTGCTACTATAAGGTAGTCTTCTCCTCCTAATTAAAGTGCGTACGTCTGTGTCGCATGTAGGTACAGGATGACTTAATTAGCTGCATCCTAATAGTCAGATGCGGGATTTGTAAGAAACTGTGCAAGGCGTGATGTAGCAAAGGCAATGTCTAGTTTTATAGTAACTACTGCAAAGAGCAGAGATCTAATCTTCTGCTAATATTAATTTACTTCTAATAAGGTTATAAAACTAGATTGCAGCATAAGTTTAATCCTACTTATAGGTGTAGCGTGCTGCAGGTCCTTTCTGTTAGCTAGCCTAGCTATTTTATTAATATATAATGCCTATAACAGCTAAATTATTTGTTGCTGTTAATCTTTAATAATTTTAACTCCTAAGAACTATTATAGGTCCTTGCCTTCTATTAGGGTATACTTCTCTTGTAACTAGTCTACTACACGCTGTGCATCTGCTTTAAAGCCTTTTCTGTACACAACAATAAGGTTGTCTATGTAAAAGAAGATAAATATTCTAGCTTTAGTTATACAGTAGAGTTTATGTAGGACAGCTAAGAACCTAAGGCCTTTAATAGTTATTATAAAATAGT